CCAAGTAATGCTTGTTCTCTCTCACTTTGTGTTTTGTCTGCACGCTCGATTGTTTGCACGCTCGCTTGTTGTTGCTGTTTTTGCTGCTGTTGAAGTTGATCCCCCCACTGGTGCATATTGTTGTTCGCAATCAAAGTGTGCTCTTCGACGCTCGCACACTGTTTTTTTACAGGGGAAGTCTTGATGCTCAAACTTGGCCCCTGGCCCCCGGGTTACAACAACAACGGCTCCCGCCTGAAATCTCTTCACAATTTAACCAGGACCCCGCTCTCGCCCGAGACTTCCTCTCATTTGATTCAGGAATCGCGCTCTCGTTCGGGACTTCTTACAATTCATTCAGGAATCGCTCTCCCGGCGCTCTGGAGTCGCGCTCTCGTTGGAGATTTGCTTGCCATTTATTGACGAATGGCGCCCTTGCGTTGGAATTTCCTCCAATTTACTCAAGCTCCGCGCTCCCGACACCCAGGCACCCAGGAGTCGCGCTCACGCTTAGGACTCCCTCACAGATTACCTCCGAATCGGGATCTCGCTGCCCTTCGTGGCCCCGTTGCAGCCCTTCGTGGCCCCCTCGTTTCGTTTCGTGGCCCCGTTGCAGCCCCTCGTGGCCTCCTCGCTGCCCTTCGTGGCCCCCTCGCTGCCCCTCGTGGCCCCGTTGCAGGCCCCATGTGCATGCCCTTCGTGTCCCCGCTGTCGCCCTTCGTGGCCCCGTCGCAGCCCTTCGTGGCCCCGTTGCAGTCCTTCGTGGCCCCGTCCTTGCCCTCCGCGGCCCAACATACGTACGCCCTTCGTGGCCCCAGCTCGTTCGCGCCCATTGTGGCCCCATGTGCATGCCTTTCGTGGCCCCGCTGTCGCCCTTCGTGGCCCCCTCATTGTCCTACGTGGCCCAGTTGCTACCCTCAGTGGCCCCATCGTTGCCTTCTCTGGCTCCGCATTATCTGCCCTTCGTGGCCCCCGCTCGTTCGCACTGTTCGTGGCCCCATACGCATTCCCTTCGTGTCCCCGCTGTCGCCCTTCGTGGCCTACTTCATGTCCTCGTGGCCCTGCTGTCGTTCTCTCTCGCTCTCGCTTTCGCTCGTCGTCGTCGTCGCCGTCGTCGTGGTCGTCGTCGACGTCGTCGCCGTCGTCGTCGACGTCGTCGTCGTCGCCGTGGTCGGTCCCCAGTCCGTCCATATTGGGGTCGGGTCGACGGTCCGCGACCACCCCGCCGATCAGCGCTGCCGCTGGCCAGGCCGACGGTCCGCGGCCGCCCCGCCGCTTGCCGGGGCCCGGCCTGCAGGGAAGAAAGGTATACTCCCCAAAAGAGGTTCGATCGAAGACGAAGAGGGCGGGTATCGAGGGTTTCGGAAATACGCGTTACTGGATACTCGAGCATTTAAGGGCGAACAGTCTCAAAATGAGTGTTGAACATTCATTTCTGGAGAATAATTATTGTTGGTCGCCTCAGTCCGGTGCACATTTTTTCCATTGCAGTGCCCTTCCGGGGCTCGCACTTTGTTTTCTATCAAGGAAAGTCTTGAGGGTCAAACTGTGTCGTTGGCCCCCGGTTTACAACAACAGCGGCTCCCGCATGAGACTTCCTCACAATTTAACCTAGACCCCCGCTTCAACCCGACATTTCCTCGCATGTTATTCAGGAGTCGCGCTCTCGCCTGGGACTTCCTTACAATTGATTCAAGAATCGCTCCCCCGGCGCTCTGGAGTCGCGCTCTCGCTGGAGATTCGCTTTCAATTCACCGAAGAATAACACCCTTGCGTTGGAATTTCCTCCAATTTACTCAAGCGCAGCGCTCCCGACACCCAGGCACCCAGGAGTCGCGCTCACGCTTAGGACTCCCTCACAGATTACCTCAGTATCGGGATCTCGCTGCCCTTCGTGGCCCCGTTGCAGCCCTTCGTGGCCCCCTCGTTTCGTTTCGTGGCCCCGTTGCAGCCCTTCGTGGCCCCCTCGCTGCCCTTCGTGGCCCCGTTGCAGCCCCTCGTGGCCTCCTCGCTGCCCTTCGGGGTCCCGTTGCAGCCATTCGTGGCCACCTCGCTTTGTTTCGTGGCCCTGATGCAGCCCTTCGTGGCCCCCTCGCTGCCCTTCGTGGCCCCATCGCGGGCCTTCGTGGCACCGTTGCAGTCCTTCGTGGCCCCCTCGCTGCCCTTCTGGGCCCCGTTGCATCCCTTCGTGGCCCGCTCGCTTTGTTTCGTGGCCCCATATATGTATGCCCTTCGTGGCCCCCGCTCGTTCGCGCCCGTGGTGGCCCCATATGCATGCCCTTCGTGGCCCCGCTGTCGCCCTTCGTGGCCCCCTCGCTGCCCTTCGTGGCCCCGTTGCTGCCCTCAGTGGCCCCGTCCTTGCCCTCCGCGGCCCAGTATACGTATGCACTTCGTGGCCCCCGTTCGTTCTCGCCCGTGGTGGCCCCATGTGCATGCCCTTCGTGGCCCCGCTGTCGCTGTTTGTGGCCCCCTCACTGTCCTACGTGGCCCAGTTGCTACCCTCAGTGGCCCCATCGTTGCCTTCCATGGCTCCGCATTATCTGCCCTTCGTGGCCCCCGCTCGTTCGCCCTATACGCATTCCCTTCGTGTCCCCGCTGTCGCCCTTCGTGGCCTACTTCGTGTCCTCGTGGCCCTGCTGCCGTTTTCTCTCGCTCTCGCTTTCGCTCGTCGTCGTCGCCGTCGTCGTCGACGTCGTCGTCGTCGTCGTCGCGGTCGTTCCCCAGTCCGTCCCTGTTGGGGTCGGGTCGACGGTCCGCGACCGCCCCGCTGATCAGCGCTGCCGCTGGCCAGGCCGACGGTCCGCGGCCGGCCCGCCGCTTGCCGGGGCCTGGCCTGCAGGGAAGAAAGGTGTATCCTCCAAGAGGGGTTCGATCGAAGACGAAGGGGGCCGGTATCGAGGATTTCGGAAATACGCGTTATTGGACAATCGAGAATATAAGGGCGAACAGTCTTAAAATGATGGTTGTTGTTGTTGGGGAACTCCCACTTCTGAAGAATAATTATTGATAATCCCCATTCACCAGTGGATGCTGTTTTTTCTCTGTCAAAGGGTGCCCCTCGACGCTCGCACCTTTTTTTGCTGAAAAGAAAAATCTTGATGCTCAAACTGCGCCCCTGGCCCCCGGGTTACAACAACAACGGCTTCCGCCTAATATTTAATTTCGCGTTTTAGCCAGGACCCCCGTTTCCTCCCGAGACTTCCTCGCGTTTTATTCAGGAATCGCGCTCTCGTTTGGGACTTCCGTACAATGTATGCAGGGATCGCTCTACCGGCGCTCTGGAGTCGCGCTCTCGCTGGAGACTTGCTTGCCACTTACTGAAGAATAGCGCCCTTGCGTTGTAATTCCTTCAAATTTATTGAAACGCCGCGCACCCGACACCAAGGCTCCCAGGAATCGCGCTCACGCTGAAGACTCCCTTGCAGATTACCTAGGAATCGGGATATCCCTGCCCTTCGTGGCCCCGTTGCAGCCCTTCGTGGCCCTCTCGCTTTGTTTCGTGGCCCCGTTGCAGCCCTTCTTGGCCCCCTCGCTGCTCTTCGTGGCCCCGCTGCAGCCCCTCATGGCCTCCTCGCTGCCCTTCGTGGTCCCGTTGCGGCCCTTCGAGGCCCCCTCGCTTTGTTTCGCGGTTCCGTTGCAGCCCCTCCTGGCCCCTTCGCTGCCCTTCGTGGCCCCGTTGCAGCCCTTCGCGGCCCCGTTGCAGCCGTTCGTGGCCCCCTCGTGTAGTTTCGTGGCCCCGTTGCCGCCCTCCGTCGCCCCGTTGCAACCCTTCGTGGCCCCTTCGCTGCCATTCGTGGCCCCGTCGCAGCCCTTCGTGGCACCGTTGCAGTCCTTCGTGGCCCCCTCGCTGCCCTTCGTGGCCCCGTTGCATCCCTTCGTGGCCCCCTCGCTTTGTTTCGTGGCCCCATGAATGTATGCCCTTCGTGCCCCCTCCGCTGCCCTTCGTGGCCCCGTCGCAGTCCTTCGTGGCCCCGTTGCAGCCCTTCGTGGCCCCCTCGCTTTGTTTCGTGGCCCCGTTGTTCCCTTCGTGGCCCCCTCGCTTTGTTTCGCAGCCCAAAAAATGGATGCCCTTCGTGGCCCCGTTAAAGCCCTTCGTGGCCCCGTTGCAGCTCTTCGTGGCCCCCTCGCAGTGTTTCGTGGCCTCGTTGCAGCCCTTCGTGGCCCCGTTGCAGCCCTTCGTGGCCCCATATATGTATGCCCTTCGTGGCCCCCGCTCGTTCGCGCCCGTGGTGGCCCCATGTAGATGCCCTTCGTGGCCCCGCTGCAGCCCTTCGTGTCCCCCTCGCTGCCCTTCGTGGCCACGTTGCTGCCCTCAGTGGCCCCGTCCTTACCCTCCGCGGCCCAACATACGTACGCACTTAGGCCCCAGCTCGTTCGCGCCCGTTGTGGCCCCATGTGACCCATGTGCATGCCCTTCGTGGCCCCGCTGTCGCCCTTCGTGGCCCCGTCGCAGCCCTTCGTGGCCCCGTTGCAGTCCTTCGTGGCCCCGTCCTTGCCCTCCGCGGCCCAACATACGTACGCCCTTCGTGGCCCCAGCTCGTTCGCGCCCATTGTGGCCCCATGTGCATGCCTTTCGTGGCCCCGCTGTCGCCTTTCGTGGCCCCCTCATTGTCCTACGTGGCCCAGTTGCTACCCTCAGTGGCCCCATCGTTGCTTTCTGTGGCCCCGCACCATCTGCCCTTCGTGGCCCCCGCTCGTTCGCACTGTTCGTGGCCCCGTACGCATTCCTTTCGTGTCCCCGCTGTCGCCTTTCGTGGCCTGCTTCGTGTCCTTCGTGGCCCTGCTGTCGTTTTGTCCCGCTCTCGTTTTCGCTCGTCGTCGTCGTCGCCGTCGTCGCCGTCGTCGTCGACGTCGTCGTCGTCGTCGTGGGTCGGTCCCCAGTCCGTCCATATTGGGGTCGGGTCGACGGTCCGCGACCGCCCCGCTGATCAGCGCTGCCGCTGGCCAGGCCGACGGTCCGCGGCCGCCCCGCCGTTTGCCGGGGCCTGGTTTGCAGGGAAGAAAGGTATATCTTCCAAGAGGGGTTCGATCGAAAACGAAAGGGCGGGTATCGAGGGTTTGGGAAATACGCGTTATTGGACACTCGAGCAGATGAGGGCGAACAGTCTTAAAGTGATTGTTGTTGTTGCTGTTGCCGCAGTACCATGTATTGCATTTTCGCTTACTCGCTCCCTGGCGCTGGGCTGGCCCTTACAATCCGCCATGTGGAACACCGCGATCATCCCCGTGGATCACCGCCACCGCCACAACTTGTTCGGCACAAACCAGTGCCACTTGGACCACATGCATCAACATTCTGCGGTGGCACATCTGAGAGTGATCGTGGCGACGCTGGCGGTGCTGCGGTGTTTGGATTCCTGCTTGCCGTTGTCATGGGCATGACGATGGTGATGGCGGTGCTGGTTTCGGCTGATGGGGGTCGTGCCATTGGTGGTTTAGGTGGCAGGGGTGACGTGCGCAGTGGAAATGGTGGCAATGGTGGTGATGGCCCAAGCGGTAATCAGGATAGCGATGGAACGGGCGTCATGGTGGTGGGTCGTGATTTTCACGGCGGTGGTCCAGGCGTCGGTCCCAGTGATGTTAAAGACGGCGATGATTCATTGCTGTTTGCCCAGGCAATATGAGAGGTGACCGTGTTTACGAATGTAGTTATGGTCGTTGCTGTCCATGTGGTGGCGGCGGCGATGTCCAAGGTGCTGGTTGCAATGCAAACGAGGAGGATATTGGCAATGGCGGTGGCGGTGGTGGACCTTGTGGCAATTGCATCGGTGCGGCTGGCAATGGTGGTTGCGGCGGTTGCGTGGGGGGCGAGGCTGGTGCTATGACCGCTGAGATTTGCGCCGCCGTGCACCGCCGCCGCCGCGTCCATCGCCATTGCCACCGCCTGTTCCACCACCTTCAGCACCGTCACCACTTGGCTCAACCATCGCCGCCGATATCGCCAGTTGGGTCGCCGGCACCTCGACGTCGCCGCCATCGGCACCGCCGCCGGGGCTTTCAGTATCACCGCCACCACCTGGACCATCACCCCACCATCATCGCCAGCGCCATGATCAGCATTCTGCCATGTAGTCGTGGCGCTGACGGCCCAAGCGTTGGCGGCGGCGTCGTTTGCGGCGGCGGCGGCGGAAGACCGCCCCGCCAGCTGGGGCAGGGCAGCGTGAGTCAAGATGATGGGACAGGCCTTGGATAGTACATCGTGAGGTAGAATTGACTTGAAAGGTGGTTGTCGTGCTGAAGTATTCAAGACGCAGTTTTTTATTTAGATATATATATATATATATAGGTGGTCGTCTAGATGGCGGTGCTGGAGGCAGCAGTTGTCATGCTGATGAGAACGGTGGTTGTCGTGCTGTAGTATTCAAGAAGCAGTTTTTATTATCATATTGCATTATATATATATATATAACTCGCAATGCCAATCTTGGCGGGGGCGGGGGCGATTGTCCGTTCGCACGCGGCATCATTCATTGTGCCGGCGCTGTCGCCGCGATTGCGTCCAGGAGCATCGCCGGCGCCATTTCGATAATTTTTTGGCAATCGATGCGCCGTTGTCATTGCCGCCTCGACCGCCGCCACCGCGCATCATGCAATGCAAGTTGCACCGGCTTGCTCGCCGTAGCCATCGCCGCCGCTTGGGCCGTCGCTACCTTCATCGTGATATTTCCCCGCCCTGCGCCGCCGCCGCCAGTGGTGTCATCGCCGCCGCCGCCGCCCGTGCATCGTTGCAACCGCCAATCCACTGCGCCGCCGTGCTCGTTCTCACCGGCGCCCTGCTTATCGTCGCGATCGTCGTCGCGATCACCGCCGCCGCCCGGGCCATCAACGGGGCGCCCGTCGCAGTCGTCGCCGCCCGATGGGGCGCCGCAGCCGTCATCGTCGTCGTCGCCTGCTCCGCGACCATGCTCCGCGTCGTTGCGTGACCGTCGGCGGCCCAGCAGAACGCAACGCATTCTTTTCCGCGCCAGGGCAACATTGGGGGGGTGCAACCGCGCAAGGCGCAACGCGTAATTTAACGCGACATGCCGAGGCAGACGAGCGCCCGGGGGAGATGGACGCACGCGCCCAGGTAGCAATGACGCAAGAAGTAATTTCTTTCAGGGGGGGAAGACACACCGACGCAATTAATCGTCGATCCCCCAGCAAATATGGGCAACACATGGGAAGTGGGGGGGCAAAAAAAACAAAGAAAACGCGGGAAAACATGGGGCATCCGATTCTTTGCGTGAGTGTAGTTGCGCCCCAGGGCCCCTTCATTCTTGCTTGTCGTTCTGCGCGGCGCCCGCGCGCTACCCGCCGGGGCGGGCTAGGCGGGCGCGCCGGGGCGGGGGGCGGGCGCGAGGTGGTCGCCTTCCCGGCCCCCCGCCCCCCGAGGCCATGCGACCTCTCTTTATGATGTCAGCCGGGCTGGCGCGCGAGCAGACCGCGAGAGTGCGCCGGGCTGGGTTTGCGAGAGGGCTTGCGTTGACATGGGGCAAACTTCGAACGACGGCGCGAGATTCGGCGGCGCTCTGCTGCTGAGGCTACCGCGGCAGCGGCACCGGCAGCGGCCAGTGCGCGGAGCGGCGACGACTGCATCTAGGGGCGCGCGGTCATCGGTGGGCCACCGCGGGATGGGCCGCGCGGGTTCGCCTCCCGCGGACGGCCCGGCGCGGCTTCGAGCGGCGATCCGCCACTCGGGGTCAGTCTGGTAGCGTGGCGATGAACATGTAGTATCACCCTCGGCTGTAGCATCCTCCTCCGCCGCCGCCCGAGCCCCCGCCCCCCCCCCGCCGACGCCGCCCCCGGCGCCGTCGCGCGCCGGCGGGGGGCCGGCGCTTGCGCGGGGCAAGCTGCCAGGCGAAGGGGCGGCAGCGCAGTGCAGGTTGGAGGTTGCGTCGCGAAAGTGAGCCTAGCTGGTCGGCATTCGCGAGTCGGGGCGGGTTTTCGCCGGGCAAGCGGCCGCTGCGGCGCCGTGCCGCCCGCGCGAGCGGCCTGGCTCCATCGCTTATCCCTGCGCGGCTCACTGCGTCGATCAGCGCGGTCGTCTTGTTTGCGCCGGTGCCATTCTCCGACTCGTGTTTGTCCACTTATATGCGCTGCGTTTTCTCGTTCACCAGTGGCTGATCTCTGCTTGAATTTGCGTCGGTTGCCGTTCAGATGGACGCAACTAGTCCCAGGCAGCCCCACCCTCGCAAGAAGTTGGCGCCTCGGATCGGCGCGGGGGAGCCCCACGGACGAGGCCCGAACAGCGGCCGAGCATGGGCCTGACATGGGCCAAACGTTCCCCGAATCCGGGGGGGGCTCGCGAGCCATGATGGCGTAGATAACCATGGCAGGCTGGTCGCATCGCCAACTGGATGCCCGCGCGCTTCGGCGTCGCGCTCGTGCTGGCATTTCATGTCGCCGTCGCGTTGCGCGCCGTTGCCGCGTCCGTCTCGTTGGGCAGTTTCTCCTTCGCCTAGCTTCTTATTCTAAACTACGCGCGCAGCCGCCGTCGCTCCAGGTGAGCTGTCTCGCCGCGCCAGTGTCGCCACAGCCGACAACATCTTTCCAATGGCCATCTCGCGACAAGATCCCTTCAACATCCAGTTGTTTTGTCGACATCGCCATCCCCTCGAAATCCTTTCAGAAGTCCTTCAAGATCACTTCGTCGCCCTCGCGAGTGGGCCAGATCCCATCGAAATGCCTTCGTTGCGCTGGGATTCCTGTGGAAGTCCTTTCAAAATCCTCCGGGGCCCCATCGTCGCGCGCCGCGCCCCTCTCAAGCGCGTCAGCATACGTTCAAAATCTCTTCGGGCATCCCCCCAGACAATCCCCTCGCAAATCCCGCCAAATCACGACCGCGCGCACTGGGGCTTGCGGCCGCGCGCGCACGCGGCGGATTGAGACGCCATTGTGTCGAGAGATTTGCTTCGCGAAGCGATGCGGCGCATTTCCCCCGCGCGCGCCCGTCCTTGCACTTCCGTTCTCTTTGTGGGGCCATGGCGCAATCCCGCGTTTCGATTGCGCAGTCGGGTCGGTTCAGTCCAACGCCGCGGCTGCCCCGCCGCGCTCACGTGGGCGCCCATTTCTGCCGCTCGCGCCCGGTCGGCGCATTTGGTTGGCCCGCGGCGGGTCGAAATCGAGTCGGCGCCCCGCGGCAAGTATTGCGCGATGCTCGGGCGCGGTCGTCGGCAGGTTTTCTCCGAGTGTGCGTTCGGCTTTCGTCTGTTCCTAAAATGGACGTTCGGCATGCATTCGGAGTGCGTTGGCGGTGCGCCCCTGGAGATCGCCCAGAGGCATCCTGCGAGCTGGGGCGGGGCAGGGCCCCAGGGCTGTGCCCGAAATTCCCCGGGTGCAGCGGGGCCGAAGAGGATCGCATAACAAGAGAAGTCGTTGCGCAATCGCAGGTTTGAGGGGGCGGAAGCGCCCCCCCCCCCGCCCCTTCCCAGAGCCCCGCCGCGAAGATGCCTCCGAGAGGCCATCGCTCTTCAAGCGCCTCGAGCTTCCTGATGGTTTCGGTCTTGCGCGAATGATTCGTTGACTTGCCTACGCCGTCGAGGCCCGAACCGCTGTCTCCCGGGCCCCTGTCGGGGTGCTCGCGGCGCGCTCTTCGGGCCCTCTTGGAACTCTCCTGGGCCCTTGGCCCCGCCGGGGGCTCCGTCGGAAGAATGCCGCCATCGTTGATGCACTATCCATTTGATGATTTTGGCCTCTCGGGAGCGCCCCGGGGGGCCGCGAGGGTGATTGGGGCAGCATTTGCGCCGTCGGCGGGCATGCTGGAGGCGCGCTGGGAGCGAACTCGAGGCGCCTGGGACCATCTGGCGCCGCCTCCCAATGATGCCCCCGAGAGGGCGACGCCCCGCGCCCTTCTCGGGCTGATCTCGGGGCCCCCTGCCGGGCGATCTTGGGGCCGCCGCCCCGAGGCTTCTGGGGCCCATCGCGCGCGAAAAGGCAATGTGGTCAACGTCTGGAGCGACGGGCGATTTGAACGCTTGCGGAGCGCCCTGCGCGACCCGCGGCGGAAGCCGCGGCCCGCCCGGCGAAGCGACGGCCGTTTTGGCCGCCAGCGGGGCGTCTCGCGCAACGTGCGGCGCGGCGCCTGACAAATTCTGTCGATGGGGTTTTCGACGGGGGAACTCCTCCCTTCACGTTCCCCCCCCCCCATCTCTCAGCATTTGCCCTCCGGGAGCCGATCTGGGTCGTTCCTGTCTCCTGCCGGCCTGAACCGCATCCCCGCACCTGCGCGCTGCGTCGATTCATCTCGACGCCGGTGTCGAGGGCCCCTTCAGGCTGTGAGGGCAGATCCCCAATGTCGCCCCCGCCGCGTAGCTCGTCAAACTTAGGGGTGGGGGCGCGTTCGAGGCTGGTGAGTTTCAGCGATGAGGGCGGGGGGGGCCGTCGAGCGCCGGGGGCGGGGCCGTCGCGGGCGTTCGGAGCGCGCGCAGGCCCACCTCGAATTGGTTTTGGCAGTCCAGTCCCGCGAGGTCTCGTTCCGAAACTCGGCGGGCGAAGGAGGGGCGGGGGGGGCCGAATGGAGGTGGGTGACGAGGAGGGGGGGGCAAGCTAGGTGCGGTCGCGTCGCGTCTGACGTCTTGCCCCACCCCCCCATCCTTTGCCATGGCGTAGATCTCCTTTCTATTTGCGAAGTCGGATGTCACGGCAGGGCAATGGCGTTGCATGGCATAGCATGGCGTCGAAGATCAGCGCGCAGCCCGGCATTGCGCGGCGCGGCGAGGCCCCGGGGTGGGGGGGCTTCTGCGACCCCGAAAATCAACGAACCGACGCCGGAGGCGGAATCACTTCCGCTGGTTGTTTTGGGGTGTCATTTTCTAGATGTCGGCGCCTATTTGGAAGGGCCGGAAGTCGCGTCGTGGCACGGCGCTGGAAATAGAAACTCCAGCGCTGCAGCGGGGGCGCGAGTCAGAAAGAGCGGAAGCGCGGAATTGAGGTCGACGTTGCAGCGGGGGGCGCGATTCGGAGGGCGCTTGGCCTGGCATGGCACGGCGCATCGACGCCCCGAAGCGGGGGGGATTCCGCGACCGAGGAAATCGAATCGACGTCCACTGCGCAATCGCTGCCGATGTTCTCGGGGGGGAAATGTATTAGATTTCGGGGCCCATTTGGGACAGCCGAAAAGCCGCGCCGCGGCATGGCGCCGGAAATGACGGCGCCATAGCTGCAGGGGGGCGCGATCCGGGGCGAGCGGAGGCGCGGGGACGGGGCCGGCGCTGCAGCGGGGGCGCGATTCGGA